TTAAATACCTTGGTATACACATACAGCCTACATACACTTTTGTATGTATATTATATATATATATATATACATATATATATATATATATGTATATATATATAAAATATATATATATATATATTATATATATATATTATATATAATATATATATTATATATATATATATATATATATATATATATATCCAACGTATACACATACAAATTTATATATACAACTATATACACCCCAATTTCTACTTACACGCTAGTATATCACATTCACATACCTTTGCATATGCATACACACATCCCAGTGTAACCCCCAGTACACATATACTCCGCAGTACTCATGCAAACACTTCCAGTCACTAATACACCCAAACATACATCTTTAACCAGAAAATCTCACAAAAACTTTATTTTTAAAGCCATTAATGCGTGACGCCACAGCTACAGTAAGCTTAAGATACCAGTCACTCTACACTAATTTTCATTTATTTACATAAAAACATAGCAACACAACATCGATTTTTTTTAGTATTTCGTATTTCAATGAAGTATAAAATAGTATATGAATGTAAAGTGGTGGTAGAGCACTCCTCTTTACAGGTGTTAGAATTTAACGTCACTTGTACATGAACTAATATTTTTTGTTGCTTCTTTAAGGGCTACGATAGCTCAGACTGTGTTAGCCCTTAGACGAACTTGATCCAATTGCGTTCTTCTTATTTGAGGTTTCTAGGGCAACTGAGGGTTCACGCTATATCGAGCCCTATCCAGCGAGTTCCAGGTACAGGAATCGTGGCCGGCTATTATAGCTATGAAACCCTGAGTTACCACGGGTAAGAAGTTTGCTCTACTTGTGACAAGTTCTTTTTCTCCATTTTTATAACCAGTAGGACGAGCTAATTTTTTTTTTCCAAGGTGTCCGAACTTCAGGTACCGGGTAGGTGTCTTATGCTCACTGTAAGGTCGACTGGCAAGTTCATCTTTGGTCCTGCGAATTGGTGCTGAACGGTTACACATTAGTTAGTACGTGTCCTTTGAGGCGATCACCAGCTCTACTGATTTATGTGATATAGAGCAGTAATTAGGTGATCACATATAACCTTAAAACACTTATCAGGTAATACGTGTGGCTTTGAACGTTCGTCGTGGTATACATGTGACCTGAAGAACTCAACAGGTCAACTTATTTGACCTGAGGCCCTCACGAGATGACTATACGTTGCTTGAAGCAAAGTATAGTGATCCCAGTGTACGAACACTACGGTAAACGTACACTGAAACAAGTCATTTGCATGCAACCTGAAACACTGAATAAATCGGGTAACCTGGAAACGATTGCCTGGTCAATTTACATGAACCGGAAGCACTCACTTGGGAAATTAAACTTATGGAACACACGCTGACCTCACTTCCGTATTTACAGAATTTAAATATATACATTATATTTTTTGAGGCGGTCTCTGAAGCTCTCGCTGTTTTGCGACTCACGAGGCTGTTTTGTTTACATACACATTTACCGACCTTCTAAACACCGAAAATATACACTTAAAACACACTTGCATGGCTTGCACAATGCTACTGCTCAAAAAAATTAAGCAAAACATTTACAATTTACACTTGGTTGTCTTAGATTTGGGATGCTTTTCTTTGAAGATTGAATTTCAAGGTTTCTGCTGGTAAGTGTTAAATACTTGTTGTCTTAGACTATGACCAGCTGCTTGAAGACTTTTGATTGTAATCGAAGTGGTCATCTCGAAAGGAGTACCTGTGGGTTAATGGTAAGCTGAGGGTGACCTGGGTGGTGACATCAAGTGTGATCTACGAGAACGACTGGCAACCTCGAAGGAGCAGCTGCCTCTAATGGGTAACCTCGACGATGTCATGAAACATTGAAGTCGATTTGATATGAAGGATAGCCAGCTGGCTGACCTCGACAAAGACCTGCTACTGATTCCTGACATCGAAGGAAGATCTGCCGCTGATGGGTGACTTTGAAGGAAGATGTGCTAGCAATTGATGACTTCGATGCAGACCTCGAGGAGGAACTGCTACAGACCGGTGTCCTTGAAGATGGCACTCTACTGACCGGAGACTTCGAGGACTGACCTCGAAGTAGGTTCCGTACAACACGGGAACCAGCAAGTGCATGACCATAGCGGCTGCTGGCTAGTCTAGGAGAAGAGGACGGAGAGTGGCCGGCGCAGGTCCTGTGTGGGTGTGGTCATGGGCGGGTACTGGGCGGGGTAGAGGAGCGGGTGTCCTGGTCCGAGGGTGCTGGGGGTGGAGTAGAGGGCGGAAAAGGGAGGTGGAACATAAGACGGCGATGAACTGTTAAGAGAAAAAATAGTCTTTTAGTGAGGCAAGGAAGATTATTATTAATATTATTACATTTTATATTTGGTATCATTATTATTATTAATCGTGATTATTAGAAGTGCTATGTCTGTTTCATATTGATTATTAATCTTTGGAGATTATTTTCCTCAAAGAAGCAACTAATGACATTTTAATTATCCAAGATCACTGCATATAGGTATTTAAGGGCAAAATATTAGAATTAAAATGTTTTACACACACACATAATTTTAATAACTAGGTGAGTACACACATACATACACACACACGTACACACACACACACGTACACACACACACACACACACACGTACACCACACACACACACACACACCACACAAATAATCACACACACGCACACACACACACACACCCACAACAGGCCTAGTGTCTAATCGACATGTGCCTAGGACAAAATGGTAACTAACACACATAAACACACACGCACACAAACAAACACACACACACACACACACACACACACACACACACACACACACACACACACACACGCACACGCACACACAAACACACACACACATAAACACACACACATACACAAACGCACACAAACACACACACACAAACACACACACACACACACACACTAGCAAACTTAAGAACAGCATTCCGATATCTTAATACGGAATCGTTCAGGACCCTGTACACTGTGTACGTTAGGCCCATATTGGAGTATGCGGCACCAGTTTGGAACCCACACCTAACCAAGCATGTAAGGAAATTAGAGAAAGTGCAAAGGTTTGCAACAAGACTAGTCCTGGAGCTAAGGAGTATGTCCTACGAGGAGAGGTTATGAGAAATCAACCTGACGACACTGGAGGACAGGAGAGATAGGGGAGATATAATAACTACATATAAAATACTGAGAGGAATCGACAAGGTGGACAGAGACAGGATGTTCCAGAAATGGGACACAGTAACAAGGGGTCACAGTTGTAAGTTGAAGACGCAGATGAGTCACAGGGATGTTAGGAAGTATATCTTCAGTCACAGAGTTGTCGGGAAGCGGAATAGTCTGGGAAGTGATGTAGTGGAGGCAGGATCCATACATAGCTTTAAGAAGAGGTATGATAAAGCTCATAGAGCGGTTAGAGTGACCTAGTAGCGGCCAGCGAAGAGGCGGGGCCAGGAGCTGTGAATCGATCCCTGCAACCACAACTAGGTGAGTACACACACACACACACACATACATACACAAATCCTGTGTCACAAACCTCCTGGAGTTCTCTGACACGGTGACAGGAGTAAGACAAGAGAGAAAGTGAGAGAGAGAGAGAGAGAGAGAGAGAGAGAGAGAGAGAGAGAGAGAGAGAGAGAGAGAGAGAGAGAGAGAGAGTGGCGAGTAGACTGCATTTTGTTGGACCCTAAAAAGGCTTATGACACAGTTTCACACAAGAGATTAGTGTAAAAGCTGGAGGACCAGGCAGGTATAACAGGGAAGGCACTGCAATGGATCAGAGAATACCTGACAGGAAGGCATGAGCGAGTCATGGTACATGACGAGGTGTCAGAGTGGGCACCTGTGACGAGCGGGGTTCCACAGGGGTCAGTTCTAGGACCAGTGCTGTTTCTGGTATATGTGAACATGACTGAAGGAATAGACTTAGAAGTGTCTCTGCTTGCCGACGATGTGAATTTAATGAGAAGAATTCAGTCGGAGGAGGACCAGGCAGGACTACAAAGGGATCTGGACAGGCTACAGCCCTGGTCTAGCAACTGACTCCTGGAGTTCAACCCCGCCAAGTGCAAAGCCATGAAGATAGGGGAAGGGTAAAGAAGACAGCAGACAGAATACAGTCTAGGGGGCCAGAGACTACAAACCTCACTCAAAGCAAAGGATCTTGGGGTGAGAATAATACCGAACATATTTCCTGAGGAGCACATCATCCAAATAACTGCTTCAGCATATAGGCGACTAGTAAAAAGAAGAATAGCTTTCCGACATCTCAGTAAGAAGTCGTTCAGGACTTTATACATCGTGTACGTCAGGCCTATGTTAGAGTATGCAGCACCAGCTTGGAACCCACACCTGGGCAAGCACGTCAGGAAATTAGAGAAAGTGCAAAGGTTTGCAACGAGACTAGTCCTGGAGCTAAGGGGCATGTCCTACGAGGAGAGGTTAAGGGAAATTGACCTTAGGACACTGGAGGACAGGAGGGACAACGGGGACAACATAACAACATATAAAAACTGAGAGCAATCAACAAGATAGACAGAGATAAGATGTTCCAGAGATGAGACACAGCAACAAGGGGTCACAGTTGGAAGCTGAAGACTCAGATGAGTTACAAAGATGTTAGGAAGCATTTCTTCAGCCACAGAGTTGTCAGGAAGTGGAATAGTCTGGAAAGTTATGTAATGGAGTCAGGATCCATACATAATTTTAAGAAGAGGCACGATAAAGATCATGGAGCAGGGAGAGTTACCTAGTAGCGACCAGTGAAGAGACGGGGCCAGGAGCTGTGAATCGACCCTTGTAACCACAACTAGGTGAGTATAACTAGGTGAGTACACACACACACACACCACACTACTACTACTACTACTACTATTATTACTACTACTGACGCAGTAGATGCAGGAGGGCTGGCACGGCGGTCTTCCTGCACCGGCTGCGCCAACTTGGCCACGGGCGCCGCCAGGGGTGTCGAGAGGACGGTGTTGGTGGGCGTGGTGTCCGGGGAGGTGGGCGTAGGTGTGTGGGCGTGGGTGTTCTGCTGGGCGGCCGCCATGGAGGTGTACAGGGCGTGGGACTGGAAGGCTCCTAGACTACCTGTGAAAAAATAACAGTTAACACGCTATAAAAACATCTGTATGATGATAAACATTTGTAAAATAAATATCTGCATGATTATAATATAACTTGTATGATAATCATCTGTATAATTATAAACATCTGCATAATAATTATAATCATATATAATTATAAACATCTGTATAATAATTATAAACATGTATAATAATAACTATATGTATGATAATAAACATTTGTATGATAAATGCCTGTATAATAATTGTAAAAATCTGTATGACAATAATAAACATCTGTATAATAAGCATCTGTATAGTATTATAAACATCCGTATAATAAGAAAATGTATTACAAACATCCGCATAATAAACATCTATACAATGAAATTTTATAATAAATATATATTAGAAACGGCTTATTATTAAACACATGTCTACTAAAACATCGTTTAATTACTCCGCCAAACATAATTTAAATTTTTATCGACTTCATAAACCGAACTGGAGCCTAAGTTTTATTTTTTAAATTCTATAAACAACATCGTGTTTAAGATTGAGAAACCACATAATGTATATATATATATATATATATATATATATATATATATATATATATATATATATATATATATATATATATATATATATTAATCATGATGGCTTTGTCTTGGTGAACTCCTTTACTGTGGTGTTCTGTGTCACGAAATGGACGTGTTGCAGTAATACTAAGTATATATAGTGATGTACATTGTGAAATGGAGAGAGAGAGAGAGAGAGAAAAGAGAGAGAGAGAGAGAGAGAGAGAGAGAGAGAGAGAGAGAGAGAGAGAGGGTACACTTACTGAGAGAGGTGGGGAGGAAGGCAGCCCGCACCTTCTCCGAGTCGAGGGTGGCTTGATACTCCGTGGGCGTGTGGGCGGGCATGGTGCCCATGCCACCCATCGCTCCCATACCCCCCATGGCCGCCGTCATGTGGGTGAGGGCGGGCGAGAAGTGAGGGTGGTACATCCCACGAGACATGGCACTGCGGGGAATGAAAGAAACAAAAAAGCAACAATTAATTCACGTAATTAAAAAACATAATCGGCCAAGAGAGGGTAAAAGTTAGTTATTAAACAACCATTCTTCCCGCTCCAGAGAGTAATATGGGAACAATACGGTCGCTAAATATGCATGTTTGTTTAGGATTTACCTACATATCTGCAATTTATTATTTGCCCTCTAATGACTCAACAACGGTGCTTTTTTCTCTCTCTCTTTTTCGAAGAAATTAATCCATTCACAACAATCTGAACCAGCAGAGTGCGTTGTCGATTTGTTATTGTGTGCTGGTAATAATGGGCCAGCACGATCATTGTTTGGTACCTTGATCGGTACAGTGTGTGTGTGTGTGTGTGTGTGTGTGTGTGTGTGTGTGTGTGTGTGTGTGTGTGTGTGTGTGTGCGTGTGTGTGTGTGTGTGTGTGTACAAGTTAATTTATTATTAAAAATCTACAACGCGGGGGCTGCCATATTTACACTTCCCGTCACTAATAATTGCTCTCTCATTACAACATTACACCGGCCCAGGAGAACATTAAACCAGCCCCTCTACTGAATCATTAAAAAAAAGAGCTCACAATGCATGTTTTACGGCCTTATAATAGCGCCTACTGTCTGACAAACTCCATTATGGCCCAACGTAAACATAACAATTACCGGATCTACCAGTAATGATCAAGTATATTACGATTATTCACTTAAAAATAGCTCAATTTAATCAGTTGATACCAAGGTTCTAGACACAAATGATATCGAGGTAGTTAACATAGATTTTTTCCAAATGCTGAGATTGCACGAACATTGTTGAGTATGGATAGTGAGTAAAATATATTAAACGTTTCTCGGTTGTTGCGTGATCCGAGAATGGTATATCCTTATGACCCTTATCCCATAAGCCCAGTCCCCTCTACCTCAATGAGTGCAAAGAAAATAGTAACTTTCTGATGGAGTTAAACATTCGCTTTGAAGATTTGAAGCCGACCAGAAGAGGCATTCATAAGGTATCACATGGAAACTAATATCCAACTACTTCAGTTAAAACTGGCAAACTGGCTCAATGTCAGTCCAGACTTTTCTTTAATTAAGATACACAAGCGTTTGAGGTTTGAAGCTGATCAGAGGAGTCATTCTCCAGTTAATATGCAGAAACAACCTGCTTAATGAAAACTGCAAAATTAAAACATGCGCAATCCAAAATCAACGGAAATGTTCATTTGAGAAAGACACACAGGCACTAAAAGTTTGAAGCCGATAAAAATACACATTCTCCAGTTATTGCACCGTATCTGACAATTTCAAATTTATTAACTATTATGAAAAAATCGCGAACAAGCGATACAAGATGCAAAACAACCAATGGGGGAGTTGAATGATAGTTTTAGGCCTTCGTGTTGCAATCAACACATTATCAACAGCTGACAATGCTGCAGAATAAAAGGAGGAGGTCCAAGCTTGGACCTACCATTTAACTCTCCCCGTGATTGTTTTGCATTTATTAACTACGTTAGTATATTAACCCATTTGAGCCTACACAGTCTAAACTAAAATAGGTAACATTCGTGCAATAAGATGTACCAACCATCAGAGATTGAAATCGTTCGGAAGAGACGTACTCGTTATTTCACTGCAAAATTCAATATGAAGTGACAAATTAGCACCTACTGAAAGAACAACTGTAACCTTGTAAGTAGGATACAATGGTGATAAAAGTTTCAAGTCTATCAGAAGAGTCTTTCTCGAGTTACCGCACGGAAATCAAAATAGAGAATTGTCTATGTTAAATTGACGAGAGGGCGCCCACACATGCCAATACTTGCCTGAAGCTTTCTAGTACAGTACACCAGCGGAGAAAATTTGAAGTCGATCGGATGAGGCGTTCTTAAGTTATAAACGTAAACTTTGGAGGAAAAAAAATTTAAGGCAGTCACTGCAAGCCTCAGTAAATGACGTGGAGCCCGGTGATGCCGGTGTTTAGAAAGATGCCTGGTAGCGTAACAAAATAATAGTGATACAGAAAGCATATCTCACATTATAACAAAATGGTGTATAGTGCCGACAATTTGACGAGTCAGACTTGGGTATCTTTCCTGACTGAAGATATTGTCATCATCTCCGTACTCGACTGATGAAGCTTGGTGTTTAGGCGAAAACGTTCCATCGCGATACTTAAGTGCTGCACATATGTCACTGTCCATAACACATCTACCACGCTGGCACATATGTCTTCAACATGTTTCGTCCGCCCGAGTCAGGACATCAGTTGACCTCACTACGTTTCAGCCTACCTGACCCTCACATATACTATCTTTGCCTATATTAGCTTGTCTCGTGTCCCATGTTCCTCGTGTCCCATGTTCCTCAGGTACAGACACGGTCCCAGGAACGGTATGGTTGCTCGCTTGCCTTTAGTTTACAATTTGTCCGTATATCTTCTGATGTCTACAGTGCTATGTTTACCTGTATTGTACTCAATAAATAGGTTGTGCAGGCGAAACGTTTCAACAATGGAGATACCTAATTACTGCCCATGTGTCTTATTCATCAACTTGTGGGTATTGTATACCACTCATCAGATACTCATCGGTATCCTATACCGGGTTTTCACCTAATGACCTGCATTACGAACCGTGAAGAAAAGTCACAGGTTTCAGAACAATGTTTAATTAGGACAACGTTCCGCTCTGAGTAGAACTTTGTTATGATTTGGTAAAGCCTACACAAAGCGAAACGTCTCAATAAAAGCTTATTCCGAAAAGTGTATATTTTCACAATTGTCTCCAGAAAGCAATTTAGATCGCACACAACTTTCCGTCAAGTCTGTTGTTTAACTGACCTGCTCGATCTTTCCTGTTGACTTTCCGTTCCATACGTTAACTTTGCAGAAACGCGCATAATTTCGTAATATTTCTCTGTACAAATATAAACCACCAAAACACACAGACACACTCTGGCAGGACTGCGGATCTTATCTTCCTGCCTCACGAACACATAAGACAAACTTTACTTACGTTCGGGATGCACATACCTTTATTTTTACCTATGTGATTCTTAATAGTTCTTAATCCTGTGTTATTTCCTTTCCAACCTAGCCGAGAGGAAAATAATCAGTAGAACCAGATCCATAAGGACCTGGTGTCTGATTTTTGAGGTTCTGTAAACAGTTCTGACTCTGCCAAAGTTGGCGTCCTCCCTATAGCTTATTTTACAATTCTTGTGAACTTCCCCGAGAGGTCTTTCCCTGGGGCAAGATTCTGTCTAACAGTGCCGTTAATACCTAATATTTCAACGAAAATCCAACAGTTCCATTAATGCCTAACAGTACCAAAAATTTGCGACAGTTCCGGTATAGCCCAACGGTCCCGGTAATGTGTAACAGTATCAGGAATGTCCAACGGTCCCGGTAAGTGTACGTATGTTCCCGTCCCGGTAATGTGTAACAGTATCAGGAATGTCCAACGGTCCCGGTAATGTGTAACAGTATCAGGAATGTCCAACGGTCCCGGTAATGTGTAACAGTATCAGGAATTCCAATGGTCCCTATAGTACAGTATCAGGATTTCCAACGGTCCGGTAAGTGTAACAGTATCAGGAATGTCCAACGGTCCCGGTAATGTGTAACAGTATCAGGAATGTCCAACGGTCCCGGTAATGTGTAACAGTATCAGGAATGTCCAACGGTCCCGGTAATGCGTAACAGTATCAGGAATGTCCAACGGTCCCGGTAATGTGTAACAGTATCAGGAATGTCCAACGGTCCCGGTAATGCGTAACAGTATCAGGAATGTCCAACGGTCCGGTAATGTGTAACAGTATCAGGAATGTCCAACGGTCCCGGTAATGTGTAACAGTATCAGGAATGTCCAACGGTCCCGGTAATGTGTAACAGTATCAGGAATGTCCAACGGTCCGGTAATGGTAACAGTATCAGGAATGTCCCAACGGTCCCGGTAATGTGTAACAGTATCAGGAATGTCCAACGGTCTCGGTAATGTGTAACAGTATCAGGAATGTCCAACGGTCCCGGTAATGCGTAACAGTATCAGGAATGTCCAACGGTCCGGTAATTGTAACAGTATCAGGAATGTCCAACGGTCCCGGTAATGGTAACAGTATCAGGAATGTCCAACGGTCCCGGTAATGCGTAACAGTATCAGGAATGTCCAACGGTCCCGGTAATGTGTAACAGTATCAGGAATGTCCAACGGTCCCGGTAATGTGTAACAGTATCAGGAATGTCCAACGGTCCCGGTAATGTGTAACAGTATCAGGAATGTCCAACGGTCCCGGTAATGCGTAACAGTATCAGGAATGTCCAACGGTCCCGGTAATGCGTAACAGTATCAGGAATGTCCAACGGTCCCGGTAATGCGTAACAGTATCAGGAATGTCCAACGGTCCCGGTAATGTGTAACAGTATCAGGAATGTCCAACGGTCCCGGTAATGTGTAACAGTATCAGGAATGTCAACGGTCCCGGTAATGTGTAACAGTATCAGGAATGTCCAACGGTCCGGTAATGAGTAACAGTATCAGGAATGTCCAACGGTCCCGGTAATGCGTAACAGTATCAGGAATGTCCAACGGTCCCGGTAATGGTAACAGTATCAGGAATGTCCAACGGTCCCGGTAATGTGTAACAGTATCAGGAATGTCCAACGGTCCCGGTAATGTGTAACAGTATCAGGAATGTCCAACGGTCCCCGGTAATGTGTAACAGTATCAGGAATGTCCAACGGTCCCGGTAATGCGTAACAGTATCAGGAATGTCCAACGGTCCCGGTAATGCGTAACAGTATCAGGAATGTCCAACGGTCCCGGTAATGTGTAACAGTATCAGGAATGTCCAACGGTCCCGGTAATGTGTAACAGTATCAGGAATGTCCAACGGTCCCGGTAATGTGTAACAGTATCAGGAATGTCCAACGGTCCCGGTAATGCGTAACAGTATCAGGAATGTCCAACGGTCCCGGTAATGTGTAACAGTA